AAGGCAAAGGGACACTCCCCCTTTGCCATCTAAGGAGTATTATGTATTGGGGCGAGGGGGTGACAGCTCTGTATTGCTAACTAAAACAAGGCTAAATACACCAGAAAAAAATGTATCTGAGTCTTGGGGAGGAGGGATGTGGGGATACAAAAGGCTTTATGAATTAAGACAGGTTGATTAAGGAAGGAGGGACACCAATCTAATGGAATAAAAAGAAGGGGAGGAATGAACCTGTACAAAGTATGGGCAAGTTCTAAGCCTTCAAAAAGAGAAAATCAGCCTAGGCTCCTCCCTCTTTAGGAGGATCCAGGGCTCATCTTTCAACAGCAATCAGATAACCCACCAAGGAAGTGAAATTTACCTTTAAGCACGTAGAGAGTTAAATACATCTAGTCTGATTGTAAGGGCTCTTGCGACATAAAACCTATCTCCCTACCTGCTTACTGCTGGTGAAATTATTTTACAAAGGAAAAAGCTTCTTTTTCACATTTACACACACATGGCATAAAATGAAAATTTCTGGTTTTGCTTAGACTTGACCACACATGCTCATTCACTGAAGACCTCTGTTACTTGTCATCTTTACTTCAGCTCCTGACATCATCAGGGACTTCAATGTTCATCTTCCTCTATAGGTCTTAACTCTGACTGCATATGAGAATCAGCTGGTAAACTTTTAAACAATACTGATGTCCAGATCCCAATTATGATTTAATTACTGAGAAAGGGCCCATACATTGGTATTTAAGAGCATTAAGTGATTTTAACGTGCACCTAAATCATCCATCCAAAACCTAGCCTCAAAATTTTCTTAGTCTCAATAACTCCAATAACTTTCACTCCCCTCTATTCCCACCACCACACACTGAACTTTAATCACTCAGAACTGTTTCCATCTTTGAAACCCCAAACTCCAAAATACAATTTCTTATCCTTCTACCACACCCTGGTCTTCAGCCTGACAAAGCCTTTCTTGTCCTTCAACCCCTCACTTCCTTCAATCCATGATCTTTCTTACCACCTCACTCACTCTCTTTCTATATCAGCCCAGGCCACTAGTATATTATTTCAATAATTCTCTGAGTCAGAACTTTCAACATCCTTATCTCCCTATGTCCACCACTCATTCGCAAACTTAAATCAATACAACAATCTGCCCTCTTCACTCCCAAACTGGGCTACTTAAGCACATGATTTTGCAGACTAGTGTCCCTTTAAAATTTATAACCCAAAATCTTACTGAGCCTCAGTAACAGTCTTTTAAACATCTCTGGTCAGGAGATTCCTACAAGGCTATTCCAAAACTTTACTTCTGTCCTCAAGCCTCCCTCCAACCCTTTAACTTCCAACAGGTGATCTTGCCATCTCTTCAGAAAAAAACCAAGGCTATTATTAGATATGGATTTTCTCAAATTCATTCTCACATAAACATTGTCTATATCTGTACCTGCCCTCACCCCTTGTCCTCCAATTTTAAAGAAGTATATACCCTTTCTCTTTTTTAAAGTTGATTGTTCCACAAGCACTCCTCATCTCTGGGGCCCTGCTTCATCAGTTATTTCTTTTCTCTCATATTCAACTTCTGCTAGGGCAAAGGTGCCATCCCACAAATACATAAATCATGTTTAAAAAAAAAAAAAACTAATTCTATGTGTCACCTGCTACCTGTTGCCATCGAGTCGATTCCCACTCATAGCGGCCCTATCGGACAGAGTAGAACTGCCCTATAGGGTTTCCAAGGAGCGGCTGGTGGACTGGAACTGCCAACCTTTTGGTTAGTAGCCAAACTCTTAACCACTATGCCACCAGGGCTCCACATACTCGTATTGCCTAATTGCTTCCCCATCACAAATAGGCCTCAAAGAAGAGTCATCCGCTCTTCTCACCTGCCCAAGCACTGTCCAACACACAGCAATAAGACAAAGACCCCCATGGCTCAGTAAAGACCCACAATGACCTAACTAGACTTCTGGAGGGCTCTTCTTACTCGTCTTTATGACACTGACATAACTGATTATTCCCATCTTAAACACGCTCCTCCGCAGATTGTTTGAACCAGTTCCCCTGCCTGGACTACTGCAATAGCCTCCTGACAGGTCACTCTGCTACCAGTCCTCACATCTCTTTAAGCCAACTTCCAGCGCAGTATGTTCTGTGATATAATAACATAGCACACATACACAATGGAGAACAGTGTAATAAAGGTTTCACATCATATGTTTTCCTTGATTTCACTGTGATAATTTCCTACTGTTGTCTGAAATGTTATTTTCGTTTATACACTGCCCACATTTTATGGCTTCTAAAAACATCTACTTGGTTCTATAATGTTCTACCATTCAACATCTCCACCATAACTCTGAAACTGCCTAAAATCCTTAAAAATATAGAGTACTTTTAAAAAAACTTTGTTCATTTGATGGGGAAAAATTAACCACTGTTCTTTTTAAATGTTTACTTTCTGAGCATTAAAAAGTTTTGGCAAAAAATTAGGAAATAAATGTGTAACCACTCCTGATATCTGGCTGTATCTGGAAGGCAATACACCAAAATAAGTTTTTTCCTATGCTTTTCTGCTCATGTCTTTGACTATTATTCTACTGATATCTCTGCCAACCTCTCCCAAGTCAGCTGGCTTCTAGCCGAGTTTAGGTAATGGGAGGCACAAGCAGGTGACTGAAAGATAGAAGGAAGGTAGAAACCAAGGTACTTCTCCCCTATCTCCCTTTCTGCCTTAAGTAAGGTCTCCTGTGGGGACTACATCTCTGTAGCAACAGCTCCCACATAACAGTCCTGAGAGAGTGCTGGCTGCTTTCACTGGGTAACTGCAGATCCTGGCTTCTGGGAACCCTACCTCCTTCCTCTCTCCCTCCTACTTCCTATTGTTGCTAATCCCTATTTGACTTCTTAGCACTTCCATTTCCTATGCCAATTCCCTGCATTAAAGTCCCTCTGTTTTAACACTCAAAGTAGTTCTCTTTTCCTGGTTAAATGCTGACTGATACAGTATCTTACTGATTTAAGACTTCTTTATAGATTAAGAACATTAACCAGTACCTGTCACTTTTCATAATTTTTCCAGTTTAATTTGCTTTTTAAAATATACTTCAGTTACAAAAGTTGTCCATTTTTATGTATTTGAACATAAAACTTTTCCTGTAAAACTTCTTCTATTGCTCTTATGCTTAGAAACTCTTTTTCTATTCAGGTTATTACATAAATATTCACCTAAAATTATCTTTTTTGCTGGTTTCCATAGGAAAGATTGGTATAGTAGAAAAAAAGTAGGTTTTATTGTCAGAAAGACCATAGATGGAATCCCAGGCACAGCCACTTACTAGTGGGGGTGCTACTGTAACAATGGCCAATTTAGTCAACCTTTCTAAGTCTCAGATTCTTCTTCCATGACATGGAAATACTACTACCCACTTTCTCAGAATTCTTTTGAAGATTAGAAAGTTTATATATAAAACCCCTCATTTATATTAAGCAGGCACTTGTTAAATTCACAGTTACGATAAGTCATCCCCTCCCTGAATATGCCTTATTTTATTATTTGGAACCATGTAAACGTGTTACGTAATTCTTTTAAAACAAACAAAAAACATCTAAATAGAAAACAAAAAAGGCAATCCCCTCAAACTGAAAACAAACTATATTTCCAGTTGGTGGCATAATCCCACAGAAAATTCTTTAAAGTATATTTGAAATACAGTATTTAAAATCCCTAATGGGATATATCCTTGGGGGTGGGGAAATCTTAAGAAAAATAATTTTTTTTAAAAAGTCACCCCCTTCCCATCTCTGCATCACTCCTATTTCATGTTTACCTATGTCACTCAATAGATCTATCAAGTTGAAAAAAACTTGAGATTTTGGTTAGAAACACAGCATACCTACAAATTAACCTAGAAATGACCTATAGTAATAATTAATCAGCCCCATCCTGAAACATAGTGGGCCTCTTCTTTTTTTTATTTCATCTTAAACCATTTTCTGGCTCAACCCCAACCTAAGCTGTAACCCAGGCCAAATGAAAACCCCCTGAAGATGATACCACCCATTTAAGTGGGTTGTAAGGATCAAATAATATATAAGTAAAAAACAACTAACATGTAAATGCATATTAGCTTCGATGGCCTCTAAAGAATCCATAATATATCCACATACCATTACCACAACACCAAACTCCTGCTGCTTAGAAGGATCTGTGCAGAAGTTTAAGGCTGATGGCCTCTTGAACTTCCTTTATGCCTCCATAGAGGATTTTGGGGGAGAGAATGCATGTATTCTTCAATAAATACTGAGCTCTTACTATATGCCAGGTACTAAATATAGTGCTAAGAATACAATAGCAAGCAAAAGAGCAAGCTCCTTGGGAAGAGAAAAGGAGTGGCTCCAAATTCCCAATTCCAAGAGCAACAAAGAGACAAGTGGAAGGATGGCACACCAGAAGCTGCCTCCCTTGCCCTGTGTCCCCAGGCATTCTCGCTTACTGGCCAAGCTGTCTGATCACAGGAAAGCATACCTACAGGAATCCTAACCAGGGATATTTTAACATGTTTTAGCTCTCAAGGAAGTGTTACTTACTTCTAAAATGAAAGCATGTTTTTAGACTTTTACGTATCCAATGTGCAAACACTTTTAGGAATATACAAATATCAGGGACAGCCTCTAGTAGGAACAGGTGCTCGAACACTTCTTTGTTAACTGATTGTTTGACCTTTATCAAACCTAAACTTTCCTCCACATATTAAATTCAATATAATTCCTTTATTTTAAAAATTTAAACAAAAAATAAAATATAGATTTTCGACTTAAATAAAATATTGCCTTTTATTTTCAAAAGATAAACTTTTAGAAGATAAACTTGATCTGTTTTTCAATATAAAATGCTAAATTTTTGGCATTTGAAGATTTGTTAACAGGCTTAGCCTTGGTTTACCAAATTGAACTGGGACACTAGGTTTTAAATAATTCTGTATGTAGGGGCAACTTACACTGGGGTGACTTCGAGGAGCTGCTCGTTCTCTTGGAAGTCTTTCATAGTCATATCGTCCCTCAGACCACATTTCATCTCTTTTGTAAGCCACTAAAGAATAAAAAAGAAACCAAAAAATTACAGTTTTTATGTTATTAAAGAGTAATAAAGACGACCAGAAAAGGGTAAATGATTACTTTCCTTAACTACAAATGTTTTCAGAGATAGTAAGGAAAAAAATATAAGTGACCAAAAGGAAAAAAAAAAGCAACTTCTTGTTCTAAATAATTTTGAGATTTTCATTTTTAAAAATGTAAAGGAAAGCCTCACTTTTCTTTTCAAGGCTACTTAAAGCTTCAAGGAGCTTGTTCCCACCAATAATGGGAGGGAGAGTCATAAGACTACAAACAGTTCTTCACTCTCAGATAGTAAAGAATTGAAAAGACCTATTTTAATGCATAATTTAAAAGGCTGATCAGCAAAGCTGGTTTGTCTAACCGTTTTTTTTTTTTTGCTTTTCTACATTCTTTGAGCTCATATTTCCTCTCTGTATGTTCACTGAGGTGATTTTAACTGAAAAAGAGGAGTTAAATGAACAGTCCTATAAAGATACACTCAACAGTCTTGATCTTTAAACAAACTCTGAAACAAACCACCCTTGATTTTATTTTAATGTTATAAAGTTGTTTGAATGCAAAGGAACCCTTGTAAAGCCAGAAATTAAAAGTTCTGTCAGCATTTCTCATGTTTGGGATGCAGAGAGAAGGTGTATTCTATTCATAAAAGTCAGGAATGCCTCCTACTTTGACCGGGACCTGACACTTTCTGGGTAGAGGTGCATCGCTGCAAGAATGTAAAAGAAAACTGAATATACAGAAGCCTTTGAATCAGATCTGTGAACAGGCAGAAGATAAGGCACAGGGTAAGCAAGATGGAAGATTTAAAAAAAAAAAAAATAAGACCACAGGAAAACAGTCCTAATATCATTTATATGGGGTTGGCATACTTTTTCTGTAAAGGACCAGACAATAAATATTTGCTGCTTTACAGGCCACAGACTCACAACTACTCAATTCTATCACTGCAGTGTGAAAGCAGCCATGAAAAAACCAGCTGCCTTTGAGTCAATTCCAACTCACGGTGACCCCATGTGTGTCTTGAGTAGAACTGTCCTCCATAAGGTTTTTAATGGCCGTGATATTTCTGAAGTAGATCACCAGGGCTTTCTTCCAAGGTGCCTCTGGGTAGACTCGAACTGCCAACCTTTCAAACCAGTTATTGTCAAGTTGATTCCAACTCATGGTGACTCCATGTGTATCAGAGTAGAACTGTGCTCCATAGGGTTTTCAATACTATCACCTTTCAGAAGTAAATAACCAGGCCTTTCTTCCAAGGCACCTCTGGGTGGACTCAAACTGCCAACCCTTCAGATAGCAGCCAAGCGCATTAACCGTTCGCGCCACCCACAAATGCCACAGACAATACATAAACATATGGGTATGGCTATGTTTCAAAAAACTTTATTTACTAAAACAGGCAACCTGCTCACAGGTGGTAGCTTGCCAATCCTTTGAGTAGATGACAAATTATTAACAGGCAGAACCAGAGACAGTGAAGTAATAATGGAGCAGGTTCTGGACCAAAAACTGTGAATCATTCTGATATGTGTGTGAACAATCTTGACACAGAAATGAAAATGGGCCAGGTAATAACTTAGGGCATTTCGGTACATAGAAAATAAGGTAACAAATCCAGGTGCACATTATACAAATCAGTGAAGAAGGAAAATATTTCAGAGAAAACACATGTCAAAAAATTTCTGGTGGCTCTTTATAATGCGATACTAAGGGGAAAAAGAAAGATATTCCATATTGAAAGTACATAATAGAGATAGAACTGTAATAGTTTAAGTTAGACTAAGGGAGAAAAAAAGCTGGAAGATTAAAGCAATATTTTTTGACACAAACAGTCTTAATCTTCTCTGTAAAAGCATACCTATAACATATTCTAATACAAATAAACCAATAAAATAGATGAACTAGCTAACGAAAAAAGCCTAGGGAAATCTTAATTTAATAGTTACAAATTAACTTTTAATATTAGGCATAAATCAACCTGAATTCTAAGTCTGCAATCAGGTATCACTAACAATGCGTATTTCAAAGCTACCAGGCTTTTAGGTACAAGAAACGAGGGAAGCGTTTAAGGAAAAGGGATTGTCAGTTATTCCTCCTCTTCTGTCTTTACTTAACCCCATCAAAACATTTCAGCCTAAAGAATAAATTAGATTTTATCCCACTTAAGATACAGTACAGAGAAATAGTAAAGATCAACAATAATCCAAAAGAGAAATGGACATGAGATGAACAGTCAGTTCACAAAAAAGGAAATACAAATAACTGGCTCGTAACCCAAAACCAAACCCACTGCTGTCAAGTTGATTCCGACTCATAGCGACCCTATAAGACAGAGTAGAACTGCCCCATAGGGTTTCCAAGGAGTGCCTGGTGTATTCGAACTGCCAACCTTTTGGTTAGCAGTCACAGGTCTTAAAAACTACACCACCAGGGTTTCCAAGTGGCTCTTAATCATTTGAAAAAACGCTCAAGCTACTTCAAAACAAGAAGATAAAAACTAAAACTATAATGAGGTACCATGCATTTTTCTTTCAAAAGCTCTGCAAAAATCAAACCACTTTGTTTAGAGTAGGGAAGGCAACACTGTCATGTATAAATGAAGAAGTCTAAATTGGTACAAACGCTATGGGAACAACTTCACAAAATCTATTAAAACTTTAAATGCACATACACTTTGGCCTGGCAGTGCTACTTCTAGGTATATTTGCACATGTGCACAGTAATGACTGAAAACAACCTAAAATGTCCACCAAGAGCATACTGGTTAACTAAACTACGTACATTCATATTAAGAAATATATGCAAACCACTACAAAGAAAAGCAACCCTATTGTACCAATATAGAAAGACTGCCAAGATATACTGCTATGCAAAAAAGAGTAAAGAGCAGATAAATATATAGAAAAGGCTACCATTTGTGGAAAATAAAAAGGCAGAGTATGAATATATACACATGTACACAGATTACTTCTGGGAGTACCAACAAGAGAGTGTAACAATGACTGCCTCTCAGGAGAGCTGGGTAGCTGAGGTATGGGAGGATAAAAAAGACTATTTTCACTATCTAATGTTTTGGACATCCTATTACCAATTCTAAAAAAATAAGTTAACTGTTTTTAATGTCCCTGAAAATCATTCAGTAAGCATAACATGTGAAGTGATGATAAAAATGCTGAATATAAATTAATGAACTACAGAAGAACATAAATAAAAATAAGAGTTTATAATTTAATGAGAAAGAAAAAGAATATAAGAATTCTAAAGAAATACTACATAGTTTCTTAACTAGATATAATAGTAATATATTGAAATTTACTGACTTTCCCCAAAAAACCATAAATAATAACTACTATACTACTTACTTGAGTCTTTTCAGGAATCAAATTTTAAGTTTTCAACAAGCTCCTGTAGGAGGGGGGGAAAAATACAGACATAAGGATTTGTGTCTGTATAAATCAAGCAATAGAGAAGAATTAAACTTTCACTACTTGTATGATAAACATGTATTATTTCTAAAATCAGGAAAAGGAGGTATTTTCATTATGAAAAGTGCTCATTAAAACTCTCAAAAAATTATGGGCATTGCATTAATAAGCCACACTCCCCAAAAACACACCTTTGGAAAATAGAAAATATCATTCTGACCACCAGAGCCACTCAAGTTTCATAAGTACAACAAAACTATGTTTTTAAAAAAGAGAACTGTATTCCTAATTTTGCTAGTTGAGAGCTGGCACGGCAACTCTCTTATTCTTATCTGAAAAGTAGAGTACTATACTAGATGTTTAAAGTCACCGTTAGCTGTAATATTAAGAACCCTGGCTTTAAGATATTTCCCATAGTATTAAAAAAACCTTAGTCTGGAAATTCCTTTTTTTTTTTTTTTTTTTTAACATTTGGCACAAAATGGTTCCATGTTCAAAACCAATTCAGAAATCAAGGCAACAATCACCAAAAGATGTCAACCTTATTAGGTAAAAAGTTTGATGGAGAACTTTTTAGTGACTTTCCCAATATAAAGAGTGCTGAGCAAGCTTAGGCAAAATAAAAATAAATAAATAAATAAAAATAAAAAACAGACACTATGAGATTCATGATGAAAACTGCAAAGCTATGAAATACATATTATGTATCTTAAAATAAATTAAACGTAAGTTTAATGAAACATCTTCATGACAAATGGCAAAAATATTGAAGTTGTCAAGGATTTCATTTTACTTAGATCCACAATCAACACCCACGGAAGCAGCTGTCAAGAAATAAAATGATGTCTATAGCATTGAGCAAATCAGCTGCAAAGACCTCTTTAAAGTGTTAAAAAGCAAAGATGTCACTTTGAGGACTAAGCTGCACCTGAGCTAAGCCATGGTATTTTAATCACCTCACATGCATGCGAAAGCTGGACAATGAATAAGGAAAAGACTGAAGAATGGGTGACTTTGAATTATAGTGGTGGCGAAGAATACTGAATATACCACAGACTGCCAGAAAAACAAATCTGTCTTGGAAGAAGTAAAGTCAGAATGCTCCTTAGAAGCAAGGATGGCGAAACTACATCCTACGTATTTTGGACACGTCATCAGGAGTGGTCAGTCCCCGGAGGACATCATGCTTGGTAAAGTAGAGGGTCAGTGAAAAAGAGGAAGACCCTCAACAAGATGGACTGACACAGTGGCCGCAACAATGGGCTCAAGCATAATAACGATTGTGAGGATGGCGCAGGACTGGGCAGTGTTTTGTTCTGTTGTACTCGGGGTTGCTATGAGTCGGAACCAACTTGACAACACCTAACAAAACATCACATTTTCAGAAATTAAGCTGCTGTTGAACCTCATTCTTGTATCGAGCCTGCTATCTGCCTTTTCTGGTTCTACACACAGCCTGCTGGCAATACTGAAGAAAAATCATTCAAACCCAAATAAACCAAACCAGTTGCCATGGAGTCGATTCCGACTCGTGGTGACCCCATATGTG